CAAACCTTACAAAAAAAGTTATTATGATAGGAATGCAAGACCGTTAAAACCACTGAAAACAGGAGATCATGTTTGCATAAAAGAGAAAGGGACAAAAACTTAAATGAAAGAAGGGAAAATTATAGAAGAAGCAGAAAAGACCACGTTCATATAGGATTATAAGAACAGATGGAAGAATTGTAGATAAGGAACAGCAGAGACCTTCTTAAAGGAACTAATCAGGAAGAGTTTGCAATACAAAACAACTATGAGAATGAAGTTATAGATGAACCCGAGATACATGAAAATAGTAGGAGCACTACAAATTTAGATGTGCCTGTAAGTCCTTCAAAATCTAACAGACGTGTTGTGTCACCAAATAGTGAAAGAGGTATAGTATCATCAAATTTTTCAAATGGACATAACTACGTCACTCGATCTGGTAGGACTGTTAAGAAACCTTATTATTTAAAAGAATATGTTTAATTTTACTACTATTATTATTTTTTTATAAAAAAGGGAGATGGTTATATATGTAACTGTAACTGTATCTATGTTATCTTTAACCATAACTGCAATATAGAATAGTAGATGAGTAATAGAATAAACTATGTTTGTGTACATCTTGTAATCATCACTGAGCATGTACCCAACACATAAAAACACACGTGTGACTCCAACGCCCAATAAGGTTATTGAGTATAGTATTGTATATATGTGATATGTTTAGTATTGTTGAAATATGTTATTTTTTTTTTTGGTACTTTTCCGTTTTGCCGGCGCAAGCGATAAAGTCGCCAATAATGGTACAATCGATGCCAAACGGAATATTCTCGCTGGTAACCTTTTACGCCTCATTTTCAAAACAAGTCGCAGCTTTTTCTTATCAGATTGATTGGTTTTTTCAATACTGGCATATAATTACATAGAATTTTTATCAGATAGTTCAATTTTTATGTCTAAGGCCATTTTCGCGGTAATTAAGTCAATTAGGATGCAATCACAGCTCTTACCCGAAGGCAAAATATAGAAAAGGTAAAAAGTCAAGGGTTAAATTCATCAATTCTAATAAGAATGCACTTAGCGAAGTAAAGCACTGCAGTTTTACATAATTTCTGAGTAAGCTATTCGTACGAATTGAAATAATTTCTTGCATTTAAACTTGTGTTCCAAATTAACTTGAAATTAATGTAGATAATTACTGAGAGCATTAGATTTTTGTAGTTAGTAGTTAATTCGCGTGAGATGAGATCAGCTTGGGGTCACGTGATATAAACCGGCGAATCAGTATGTTGAATTACGAAAGCATAGTAAATTCTTAAATTAATGTCTTTTTACAAATTTATTGTCTTTATTTATTGGCTTTTTATGAAGTTTTAAATGATATTAAAATGTTTATGCCTTCAAAATGAAAAATTCTTAGAACTAACATTTTTTTATGCGTATACTGTATGTTGTCGTCAATAAAGTCTGCTTGGCGAGATTTGCGCCGGCGAAACGGAAAAGTACCCATTATTTGACAGTACTAATATATCTTCTGAGATATGTTTTTAATGATGCATATTATAGGCTTATACATTATTTTAATTTGGAATATGACAGTAATTCTCACTCAACTTCAAAAATGTCCTTGCGATGAGAAGATGAGAATGAACTTGAATGATGAGAACTGTGACCGAGCCATCGCCCCTAGGCGCAATTTTGCCAGTTCCTTGAATGTTAGCCGTGACGGCCCATTGCAAAGTTCCAGACGTAAGGATTTCATTAATAGAGAAATCGGACGAAAGTAGTCAAACATAGGGGGCCAAAAAAACCTCCCTGGGTTGAGAAAAAGATATGATCTTACTAATGCGGTCAGAATGTTTCAAATTTCCCTATGTGCCGCGCCTAGCGTGGATGTTTGAAAGTTGTACACCGACTGTCGTAATGTAGATGCTCCTAGAGCACTTGAGGTCTTATTACATGTTTCTTCGAGTGCTACAAACCCAGAACACCTAGACTGTGGCGACTTACCTCTGTTGAATAAATAGTTACTTCTGAATTTACTGCAAAGTAACAGAGCTGCTTCTAGATGCTGAGGAATAGTCACTAAAATGGCAAAAGTTCTAAGCATTAAAATAGTGCTATCACATCGCACTTTTCTTACGAACGAAACATATAAGGATAGCTATCGACCTGGTGAGCATGTAAATAAAAAAAAAAGTTAAACATGTAGAGGCAGTGCGAGTCTTAAGGGCATCATCACAAATTTTAAAATAAAAAATCATAAACGGATTCAAGATGCAAAACAGGGAATCTAGGTACTAAATACACACCACTAATCTAAATTACCAGATAAGAGCAAACAAATCATATATACTAAAGATAATTACCAAATACATACAAAAACAACCGACAACCTCAGCACACGTGAAGTAATTATGGAAGTAATATTTTTAATAAAACTCCCCGAAGTTCCCCCAATGAAGATTTCTTCAAGCATACAAAATAATACAAATATATTGTCAATAGAAGTAGGGGTTTCCCTTATTTCATTAAACATTATAATTAGTGATAATTTGATTACATCAAGGATTGAAAATTTGGAAAAGATTACCTTAATTTCATTGTAAACTTTAAACATATTCGCGAAAGTAACAGATATTCTATCTGAACTTTTAGCATTTTTCTTCATTGAGGCTTTTGGTCTCAGAAGTTTTAGCATCGAAAGATTTATTTATTATTGATACTATTTCTGCTTTCCTCTGGTCCAGATTTAGACTTATTACAACGAAAAGGAATTTCCTCCGCAATAGTTTCTCGTGCTATTTGTTTACTCGTGACTCCTCACTACGTAGTACAGAGCTGTTTTTGCTAGAATCAGTAACTTCCTCAGAATGTTTTTCACGTATGTTCATTGGATTTTTGGGGCACTTGGAAAAACTGTTACGATAGTTTGTAGCAGTGAGCGTTTGCGACATTACCGGCAAATTGTCGGTAAAGTTTCGCTGCAAGCAATGTTATTAACGAACTTTCAAAAAACAGGAGGTCTTCAGTAACAATATAATATTTTACGCTATGTTTGGAGTTATAAGTTAAGATTGGGTGTCCTCAAATTCGAATACCGTAACAACAATTTTGTATATTGAGATTTTTTATCAGTTCTAATTATACTATCAACACTTGATATACAATTAATATCACCTCGAATAGAAATATTTTTGGGCCATCTATTAATTTTCTATTATGTATACCAATAAGTAAATTAAGTTTATTAAGGAAATCTGGACCTAAAATGATTTTATCTACTTAAGGTATTGTAAAAGAAAATTAGAACTGCAAGCAGAGGATTAGGTCAAGAGTTAAAATTTTGAAACCAAAAGTAGGGATACTTGTACCATATGCTGTATCATCAAAACAGTTAGCGTACGGTTTTCGTAAGTTTGAAAGCGTACAGTTTGAAAGAATTATACACGTTTTGATGATGCAGGTATAATAGAGAAATCAGCTCCAATTTTCACAAGAAAGCGCAAACCGGTTGCTTTATCTTTTAAAAATAAACGATAGTTATGATAGACTGTAAATTATTTCAGCAGCGGAAATGCTGTTTTGAGTTTTCTGTTACTTTCAAGGCATATGGACTTTCGCATTTATTAGAATAACACTGGTTACCAAATTTAAAATGGTAGTAACAATATTTACCATCAGGATTAAATCGTTTCCTTGAAGGACTGCGACTATTATTTCTGTTTAATATAGACTGCCGAAATTTACTCCTAAATTGTCATCGAATATTTAGTGCCGAAATCTATTTTCCCACGACAGAAATTTTGTCAAATAAAGAATTCAAAACATGATGATTCATATCAGAAGTATTCAAAATGGAATTATCTGTGCTCGCAAAACAAATGTCTGTCAAGGGATTTATTTCAAAAATTTTACCTGCCATTAAGGACAAATTACTTAAATTTTAATTGCATACAACTAAATACTTTTGACTGATTCTGACAATTTATCGAGCTACAATGTTCTAAAAACTTTATTTCGTTATATTAGCTCCTGCTAACGATTTTATTTGACGTAGTAATTAATTAAGTCTCATATCAGCTAAACAAATTCCTGTAAGCAATTGTTTGATAATTTTTCCCTCACTTTCTTTAAAAGCGCTTAAAAGTCTTTTGGAGCTGAATATTTATTATTTTTATCACTACCACATTTGAGAAATTTCTGTTCTAATTGTGCAACAAGATAACTCAATTCCGTTTCATCTTGGAAATATTAGGAACAGAAAACTTAGCTTCCACTTGATAAAACCATGTTTTATGTTTTTCTTCGCAAAAAGGAGGAATTGCAACGCTTACCTTGTTTGTTTCGATTATCAGCTGATTTTAATGTAAAGCTTCCATTATTTTCCCCTCTCATGGTGACGTTATGAAACTTTGCTGGGTCACCAGTTTTATAGCTGCAAGTGGCAGTATTCCATACATAATAATTGTCTACCTTCTTATTTAGTTAAAAAAAAAAAGTAATACACACGAAATGAACATTCATATCATACATTTAATTAATTTATCTATTTAATCATACATTTAATTAGAATACTCTAATTTTCTAATTTTTGTAGCTGCCATTCTGAAAAACTGAAAAAAAATTATTGTAACTTCGACACCAGTTGAGATTACGAAAATATTACATACATAAAACTATTATATGTAAAAATCTGCACATGTACATAACAAAATGAAAATAAATTGATATTACGATTTAAAGCCGCAAAATACCTTTTCTGAAATTCGCCTAAATTTATTAACAAAATGGGTTTGTAACGCTATAGGACCCTTAAAGCTTACATTAATATCTCACATATTTCCCCAAAACTGTATTTATAACCTTCCCACTGATGTAACGAAAGTTTAGAATGAAATATTTTCCATTCTGGCAGCCCTCTGGCTCTCAAAGAGAATAGTTTGTTCCGAAAGAGTCACTGAAATCCTGCAAAGTAATTATAATCTCTCACGAAATTTATTATATTTAAGTCTTACCTTCTGGCAAGGGGTGTTGCACAACACTCCTCTGTATCCTGCTTTGCAAACGCAGCCAGATTTGTCAGAGTTGCATATGCCACCATTTCTGCAGCGATCACAAGTGTATGAGCAGGTGGGTCCAAAATATCCTGATTTACATTCTGAATGGTAGGAAAGATGGAAATTATATTTTTAACTGTACACATGAATGCAAAATTTCTGATCTCTTGCGAATATATCTTGGCGATTGAAATAAAAGTTTCCTCTTTCACAAGAACTGATTCAATTCAATGAAAGATAAGAAAGAAGGCAAATAAATAAACATCGCAAGAAGAGTATATTTTTAAATGACTATTAAATTATGCAAGTAGTTGCATATTTTGCCATAATTTCGAGTTTGCTAATGACAGATGCGATTGATGTTTCTTTACTAATGCAAATGTCACAGAATTCAATATCATGTTTTCTAAATAAGGCATAAGAATTCTATTTATCGTCACTGGCGGCGGAGTTAAATGCAGAAATTCTTTTTCTCTGCCTTTAACCACTAGCACTACAGTACTTTCGGTTTACCTCTAATTATGGTATGCGGTCATTTGATGCAATTTACTAACGGACAAAAAAAAAAAAAAAAAAAAAAAATCTGATGTGTACACCACACGACTTCCTTGTCGGAATATTAATTACGCATTTTTTTTGCATTTCATTTAAAATTATTGGACTGAATTAATCTACTTCGCCGACAGCACATAAACCACAATAGAATAAAATGCATTCTTTAAAAATTCACTCTAGTATTTGTTTACCATAGCGACACTCTGGCGCTAGATTCACTTAACAGTATTATATTTCGTTCATATTATAACTCATAATGCACAAAATTTATATCATTTAAAGAACATAATTATCTAATCGTTGCCACATGTTCTGTTCAAATACTATAATAAAGCTAGAACGATGTATAAAAGAAATTAAGCAAACAAAACAAAAAAGAAACAGTTTTTCACAGAGGATTGAGTATTTCTCTATCAATTAATTCAGTTCTCACTTCGCGAGAAGGCAAAAATACATAAAAATTCAAAATATCTATATTAAAAATTACAAAGTAAATCTTAAACACTTATTTCCTCGAAAAAATTTCAGAAAGGATTAAGCATAATTTAATTGACAATAATAAATGAAGGCGTTATCTTTGTTGTTGCGAAGCTAAGTTTCTCTAGATTGGCCACAAATCCACAATGTCTGCTGTTTCAAATGTAAACAATCAATCGCCGCCATAAAAAAAAGGCTTAATGGCACTTAAACAACTTTAAAATTGTGTATAATTCTAAAAATATTGCATACAGATTTGCTAAAGGCATAAAAACCTTAACCGGAAGATAAAAACAACATAATTCAATCATTTTTAAAGCAAAAAATGTACAATTTACAAACATATAAGAGTAAAGAAACTGAGATCGCTGAGCCGGGTAACAGAGTGGATATATATACAAATATATTTATATACGTTTGGTGCGGCCGATTGCAATCAAAATACGAGGTGCACATCTACATGTTATAGCAGTCCAATATACAAAATTTCAACGTTCTGAGGCTACTCGTTTTTGAGTTATGTGAGATGACATACGTTCGTACAGACGCCACGAAAAGTTCTCTTCAGAATTAATTTTAAAGCAGTTTTATAATTTTTTGAAGGAAACGAGTCTTTTATTCTGTTCTTACGTACATATATCACGGAAAAACATCGTTAAATTGCATTCGATAGCGGTCAAAATGGATATTTTCGTTGAAATATGCTGCCTGAAACTTTTCGCGAATACAATACTTCCTTTTTACTTCATACAAGGAAGTAAAAATATGGTACTTTAAAGTTTTTTTTAATAATATATGTTAAAACTTAGTTATTAAATATGGTTACAGAAACAAAATTCTTGAAAAACGATATTTTATTTTTTTATTTTGCAGAGTTAAATGGCAACAATTTCTTTTTCTGTAGCAATCTTGCTTTTAAGCAAGAAGAAAAGAGATGACTTTGGCGAACGCCGTTTCCTCCAGTCTGTGAAGAATTTCTTTTTAACAGCATAAACCATTAATACTAATACTATATTCCACACAAAAGTTTTACACGATTAACTGTGCCAACATAATTAATTCCTCTATTTTTTAAAGTTAATTCAAAGAAGGAAAAAAAAAAGTTAGTGGCAACAGTTTTTCTTGTGCTATAAAAGGAGTCAATCAACCGATAAACGGCATGCTCTCCAACAATTTCTTCAACTATTCTGCTTTATCTTTTCCAAAATAAGGATGTCCATTTACAAAATATTTCGCTTTTACATCAGCTAAAAGCCATAATTTTATTCCGCATTCTTTGGGGTTTTCAGCATAAAAAGAATTACAGATAAAAATGTGGTCAGAAGACTCGGACATTTGCAAGTGAAATGAAAGTGTGACACAGAATAAGGTGAAGAACATAGTAAAACATTCAGCATGAAACTCTTCTCGAACATCACCATTTCGGGAAGGAAAAGCTTCAAATCTATACCAACCAGATGTCGAATAATATCTGGCATGAAAATTAGAAGAAAAAAAAAAAAAAACTCAAACAAATGTCGTCAAGACGCTGCAACCAACACCAAGCCGAATAAGGAAGATGAACAGTCAAAATGACCGCTAGCTGTAATTTTAGGTGCATACGGTTATTTATAAAAAAATAATCATTTAAAATAGTCTTACTAAATTATTTTGTCATCTTGGTATATATTAGGAATATATACCATATATGGTATATATTTTGGTATATATTTAGGAAAAGTTAAAAAAAAAAAAAAAATTATCAAAATATTTTATAAGAAAACTAAAAAAATATGAAAATTTTAATTTCGTTTGCCGTCAAAATGACCCCTACCGTAATTCTGGCTTGCATGAACTTTCAAAACCTTAAGAAATTCTGTAAGATAATCATTTGACTTTGACATAATCCATTACATTAGTATTGCCTCTAACGGAAGGTTAATATCTTGACTGATTACATCCGTAAACAGTCTTAAGTTTTGTTTACAGAAGCGGAACTTTGCCCTCAAGAAACGTATGTTAAATTGATTCCTCTGCTTAAAACTAAGCCGGTTTAAATTTACCGGAGCAGTCGAGTTAGCATACGTTTCTTGGGAGTAAAGGAAGTTCCGTAGTGTAAAGGGCCCTTTACTGCTGGTTAAGCCTAAGCTTGTTGATATAAGAGTTTGAAAAGCTTTAATTTCTTGTCTACAATGATTAATTTTCTTCAGGATGTAGACCCAATTCTATTCATAATTGATAACATTATATAAAATGCCCATGGTTTTTTTTTTTTTTTTTTTTTTTTTTTCCATCTTCCTACCGTCATTTTTAACAATATATCGGTTTAAGCGAATATTTAGTACCCAAATAATTAAGCGTGGATTTTCTCGCCAATAGTAACCCCAATGCATATTCCCTATTCTCAATTTTTTAAACGTTTTTAAAGGTCACTTTTTGTGTTTAAAAGAAAAAAAGATATGTATGCATTTGGCATACTTTTTTTTTTTTTTTTGATATTTTTCTCTGCATTTTAGACGTGATTTTCTTTTTTTAAATCTAGAAATCTTATTATTATTTTCATATTAATATGACCGGTGTAAATATTTGTATATAATTTTAGAATTAGCCTAGAATTTTAGTATTTGAAATTTCTACATTGTCTTTCTCAATTTTTCATACATTATTTTAAGGTTCTCTAAAAACGAAGAGATGTTGTTCTTGATTTTTGAAAAACATTTAAATTCAATAAATGAAGATTTAGATTAGACTTTTGATTATTAGGAAAGAACAGAAACGTTTTTTGTGAAACTTGATGTAAGTTGATGGAATGACTTCAAATTGAACAAATCATGGTGAGTCTTATTTAAATTTGTTCGATTGACTGCATCATTTCCTTCTTTTCTTATTAATTTCCGCTTTTTAACTATTTTTCAACAACAATAACTTGGCATGGGTTTTTGATTATTTTTTTAATAATTTCCATTCATTTGAAATTAATTTCGTATTTTTATTGACCTCTGCTTACTAAAGAAAGTTTTCCTGGAAAGTTTAAATTTAATTTCTTTTGCTTTATATATATATATATAGTTACGTGATAAAATACGGGATTACGTGATAAAATAAGCAAACATTGAGGAAATGACTAATATTAATAATATAATAAAATATATATTTGCACTAACTAAACATCCATGTTATGCGTTAGAAAAGTTGGTTTATCACAGAGAACATTAGTTCGATTAAAAATAATTAAATACCACTTACTGTTTTGAGATATTAAGGTTCCGATTGTATTGTAATGACTATCACTTAGGGGTAAAGCTTTTAATTTCTTCAGTCTTTTTGCCTTGTTCACTGCATACTCGGATTCAGGAAGATCGCCCCGCACTGGTCCATAATCAGATTCATCTTCTGCGTTTATTGAAGAAAAATAAATAAATAAATAAATAAAACAAATCAATGAAAATCAATGAAAATAACACAAAGTCAGCGTAGACGAAGGCTTTTCTTCTAGTGAGTGGCATAGGAAGGCGGGTGAAGTGGGTGACGCCCACACCAGGTACTAGCTCTGAGGAGGTGATAAAATATTACAGTTTTGTATTAATGTACTTTTTTGTTACATAAAATAACATGTCAAATAATTTACATGGGCCCAACATTATGAAAAAAGGGAGCTTTACTATGGCTAATTGTCTCAAATTGCGGGTGAACGATGTGATGCAGTATTGATATAGTAATTTGTGAGTGTATGTATATTTTTTTGGAAATTATAAATTTTGCAATAATTTGGTTAAAACTTCTTTGTTTGTAGAGTATTTATTATTATTATTACATAGGAGGTCTCAGTACGAGTGTTATAAATTTATAAGAGGGCTAAGGTGCACCTGGACCATTCGGATTCCCATAGTAGTACAGGCTCGGAAATGCTTTCACGATATGGTAGATGGTGTTAGTCCGAGGTTTATCTCATAAAAGCTTCATTCACACACTGACTGACTGTGGTATGAATGGGTGTTATACGAACGAGGCTTAAGCCGATATGCAATTGGTAAACAGGGCCACTTAGACGTTACTTTTAGCCAACATTACATCGGGCGGGATCGTCCGGTGCACTGGCCTGCTCGATTGCCTTGATTACTTCTGGGAATATTTGAAAATACTGCGGTATGTTATCCTCCTTGGTAGCGCCGCGGAACTAGATACACGCCTTGCAGTATCTGTCAAAGAAAGCCGAGATACAATCCGAATTTTCCAGAATGTAAAGAAATCTGAATGCTGAACATGTGAAGCCTCCATTACAGCTTGTGTAAGACACTTTGACCACTTCTTTGACTTGCGTTTTCACCAATGGCAGCATGGTTAAGACAGCTGAATGCTCGAAATTAGACTCGAATTCGATCCCAGGCGGACGGACTGTCCGCACAATTAATTTTCATGGCTTCCCATACGTATAACGGGAATATACGCTAGTTTCCCCATCCTGTGCTTTATCATATTCAAATAAGATAATCTAAACTTAGACTTCTGTTACTTTCATAAACGCACATTTAGTATTTAAATGCATATTCACTTTCTGGGGCGTGTTTTCATTTCTGGTGTTTCTTGTGTACGTTATGCTCATGTCATTTCCGACTTTGCAATACTATTAAGATTCCGAATCACCTGAGTACACATTAATCTTCCTATAAGTTTGCAACCCTGAAACTGAAACATCGTGTACATATATATTATTTGCTCTTATTACATTAGTTCTGTTGATTACCTAATAACAGCAATATGTTCCTTTAAACTTCACACTGTTCGAAAATTTTTATTCGGAATAATTGGCGCAAGTTTGGCTAATTTTCCTATTCGACGGAAAAGTACGTAAGTCTAGGATATTAAATGTCCAAGCAGCAAACCAATTTTTATTTGATTACGGATACATCTAGAAACAGAACTGATGATTAAAAAGATTAACAAATAATACATAATTAGTTTTAGTTTTTATGTAATACATAAATTACAGGTATCTGCGATTACTAAATTAGCCCATACAGAAGCTCTCTCTCAAGTTATTTAATATTTTAAACAAACAGTACGCGAAGGTGAGCTGTAGTTTAAAAATCTATCTTTAGGCTATAATTTAAATTTATTTGCCTTAATTTTGGTAATCAAGGTTAAATCTACACATTACAGCAGTAAATTAAGCTGCTTTTCTTTCTAGCTATTCAAATGATTATTTAATGTGATAAGTTGTTGAAAGCAAGGACGTTATTCCTTCAAGGAGTACAGAGAATCGTTTTGATAGATATCGAATGTGAGTGACATTTTTCATAAGCAAAGAATTTCACTTCTTAAATTATTCACTTTTGTACATTAGTAAAATGCTATCGGGTTTAAAACTCTTTGCTAATAGTTCTGCACAGATTAAAAGTGAAATTACCTTTAACATCGCATTTTCGCTGGTCGTCCAATAACTGGTATCCAGGAAAACAATCACAAGTGTAAGATCCTTCGGTGTTTGTGCAGATGTGATCGCAGCCTCCATTTTCTTGTTCGCATTCGTTAATATCTAATAATAAATAAAGCTGACTTTTACTGAGAGATTTTAAAAAATTAAGCCTTTTTAGCTTAATATCATCAGTTTTTATGACAAGGATACAGTAATTACAGTAGTGTTTCGCATAATGAACGCCTTGGGCAACGAAACTGCTTAACAAACATGCATGGGCAGAAAAATGTCCAGCTTTACAAAAAATATAAAAGATAACAAGTATAAAAAGGTAACAAGCAGAGAAGCGGGTAACGTAAATATATATCTTAATATTCTATACCCACTGAAGAAAATTTGGAATAAAAGCACATCGGAAAACCATGGTACAGTTGACGATTTAGTTTCGTAGCTGCACATCGTGTTGCCATCCAAATTTCCGGTATTTACATAAAACTATATTTATATATTTTCTCATTTTGTGCATGTTTTCCTCGGTAATCAGGCTAGTTTATCAGCTAGCAACTGATAGTATTAGTGTCTTCGTATATGTGTTACACATTAACTGCATCAGCATTAGCATGCATATATTTGTAGCAGTGTCACAGAACTTACTTGCTTATTTGTAATAACAATTTATGTCTTATTATTCCCCCACTGGAGTACATGTACATATACGTATGTCTATGTTATATTCAGTGTCACAATACTTACGCTGCTATGGTCAGTACATATTTTCCCAACTTGTGCATGCTTTTTGCAATCACAACGATTTTTATATGCTACCTAAATATATAGCAAAATCTGTATAAATGTACTAGGGATTTCTCCTTCAACACAGTAGTTTGACAAGTTTATTTTTCCTTTTTAGTGACTGTGTAAATGCATGCATTTATATATAAAATTTTCGTATCTGTAACAGAATCTGAATATATGTATAATTGTATTAGGAGTGTTTGCATCAACATATTTATTTTCATAGTGATTGTAGATATACATGTATTTATTTATAATATCTGTAACAAAATTCCTATCTGTATATTTGTATGAGTGATGCCTGTATCAACATTTGTACTATGGAACTATCTTATGCACTTTTAATAGTGTATGTATATACACATGTATTTATGTACAATTCAACAGAAATTAAGTGTCTGTATACTTGTATTAAAAGTGTCTGCATCAACATATTTATTTGAACTGCCTAATACATTTCAATAGTGATAATATAATTATCTACTTCTATAGCAATATAATTATCTACTTCTATAGCAAAACTCGGTATCGATATATTTGTATTAGCGATGCCCCATTAACGTATTTTGTGCTAGTTTATGTACTTCAAGTTTATGTCCTTATTTTGTGCTAGTTTATTTGTATGCACATGCTTTTACATACAAATTTACATTGTCTGTAACAGAAACAGAGTACCCGCATATTTGTATTAGGAATGTTTGCATCAATATATTTGTTCGAACCAGTTAATGTATTTTAATAGTGATTGTATATATACATGTAATTGTTTATAGTATCTGAAACAGTATTCGATATCTGTACATTTGTATTAAGGGTGCCCGCATCAACACATTTAAGACTAATTTATACACTTAAAAAGAGTTAAAGGTTAGAAGAAAAAAGTTAATAGAGTTAAAACAGTATGCAAATACACGTGTTTGCATTATAAACAAATTGTACAAATTTATAGTATCTGTGACATAAATTCGGCAGCATGAAGAATTCCTTATTTGAATGATCGATCGGTTTGCACGCAGTGATGATGTCTCACAGCCAGCACATTGCTCTCATTCCCACTCCAAAATGTTACTCCCTTTATAGTTAGTTCCCCTTACAATTTTTAATTGTTTCATTCGTTTCCCTTGCAAAGACATACTTTGGGGAACTTGATCTAAGGCGTTAAGAAATAATTATAGTCGTCGACTGGACAGAAACAGGCCGGCAAGCATTTTTCCTAAGCGGACCGTTTGTCCAGCTGGCGGAGAAAAGAAAAAGAAAGAAAGCATTTGAAGAACCACCTCCGAAAGCCGACAGAGTTGTCAGTCATGAGCAGCTTACACTTGTAAAAGCAGGCGTGCAATATTCTGCATTAAGGGCTGTACTTCCCGCAAGTATTTACACCCTCCACTCTGTCCTTATTTTATTTCTATGCCCATTTTATACTGTAATAGCAGTGTCCCCACTATGTACTTTCCCTGCATTTTCCGGTCCTCTCTCAGTATCCCTCACTTTACATAGTCAAGTGCAGGTGACGGAGGACGGGGACGCCTGGCGTATAACATAGGTAAACAGGCATATGTCCCACGTCCTCCACTATCTCGAAGAAGCAACTCGCTGGAGCCCCGTGAGGCTGCACCAGGAGTTTACATGGCCATACAGGGGCTAAATGTCGGGTAGTTTTTACGGACGTTGTTAATAACACAAAGTAACTTAAAAAGAATATAAAGGATAGCATTAAAACACTAAAACACTCATATAAGCTGAAACACATAGATATACAAAATTAAACGTAAAAGCATAAAAACACACTCGTAATTACGTAACATAAAGACATAAAAACACACACGAGAATACATATCATGACACATAGAATACATATGGAAACACGTAGAGCACATAAATGCAAATATTACACTCAGAAGAAACATATGAAGACATAGTAAGGTGTGCGTAAAGCAGTAGCGCTGTGCGGAAATATGCTCAGTTCCCATAATACATAATGTACATACTTTCATTAGGGGCTTCTGTTGCATGAATTACATATTTCGTTGCATACACTACATTCGTGCATTGTACGGATATTATATATTTCGATTTACGATAACACATCATTCCATTGGGTGCCCAGTGCTTTACACTGATAAACATGTCAGTAACATTATATCTGCAAGTTGGTGGCTATTGAAAGCAGATGTTAACACGAGGCTCGAAATTGAATGTGGAATGTGTATTACAGAATGTGTACATACTGCGAATATCTAATAGTTGAGTACATTGTCTGCAGTACCATGCTACTGTGGCTCGCAAATGTCTTGCCCTAGGGCGTTGATTTGCTGTACAACTGCGCAGATACTCCTTATAGCTGGCGGGTGTTTGATTATGAAACGATAGTAAAGTGTTCTATCATTCGTTGGATGTGGTAAGTGGTGGTTTGTTGTTAGACCGCAGTCAAATAGGTAGTGCTCGGGAGAACCTAGCATGCCACAGACACAATTGTCAGATGCTGAGATGCCATGACGCATAAAATAAGATGGAAATGGGCCATGACCCGTTATGTACTGTGTCAGTGGGGCTATTGTTATAAGACGTTCCGTGTCTACCTTTGGTAGGAAGTTATACGTCCTTCTCCCTGTGTCGCCACTATTCCATTCTTCTTGCCACTTTTCTTTACAGATATTACGCAGAGTTTTCTTGAGGTGTGAGACGGGGGTAGGGGCACTTATAGTTTGAGCGTGGATGTTGTTGGCAGCCTCATTAGCCAGTCGGTCTGCGACGTCATTCCCTTCGTTGTCGGAGTGTCCTTTCACCCATACCATGTTAAAGCGGGCTTGATGATTATTGCGTAAAAGTTGCTGTATATATCTATGATGATGGGTGAAGTGTGGTGATTATCCCTGAGTGCGTGTAGCACTGACATGCTATCTGTGTTAAAAAGTCGCATTGGTAAGGGAAAGGTTGAGGACATGTCGTAGCGCATTCAATATTGCTAGTGCCTCTGCTTGGAAAATACTATTGCTGTTAGTGAGATGTCCTTTCCATTCCTTTACTAGTGTGCCATGTTCGTAGTGAGCAAACGCGCAGCCCACTCCCTGATCATGTTTTGATCCATCAGATCATGTTTTGATCCTGATCATGTTTTGATCCATCAGACGCAGAGAAAGTGCGTTGTCTGGAGTGCGATTGCTGATGTTGGATTTTGACATGGATCCCTCTACCTTTGATGGCAGGGTGGATGTGTTGCACACTGCCAGGGAGTTCATAGTCTGTTGTTCTGAACGTAATTCCTGCATATGTGGCTTCTTGTCTGTGATGGGTGATTCGTACATAGGTAGCCTCTGCCTCTGCCTTTATGTGTAATGGCAGCAGGCCTGCAAGTATCGTGGCGGCGCTGGACGCTGTTGTGCGATAACCTCCGCAGATGTTTAATGCAAACGGCCGTTGAATTGTGGTCAGTAGCTTGGTCTTTCGGCTGCTCATTGGTTGTGCCCATATGACTGCTGCGTAGAGAATTATTCTCTCTGCCACTGTCAGATATAATAGTTTCCTGATATGGGGGTTTTGTCCCCAATTTCTCCCTTGAAATTGCCTGGCTTTCCTTGCGATGGTCGATGTTTTTGTACGTATTTCTTGGAGGTGCGGTAACCAGGTGAGTCTTTGATCCCAAGTGACTCCTAGATATTTAATCGTCTTCGTTATTTTTAAGTTCTTGCCCAGTAGCTTTATACATGGACGTCTTGTGGGATTTGTGCCAGGACGTGGAATTACGATGGCTGCGGACTTTTGCCGAGAGATGGTTAACTTAAGTTTATTGCATAGGTCCGTGAATATCGAGCAGGTTTCTGTGGCATTCCGTTCCAGTTCATCTCTTGTGCGGCCAGACACCAGAAGGGCTACATCGTCGGCGTATGCTATGATATCTGTGTGCAAAGGCCATTCATGTTGTAGTATGGAGTTAAAGGTGATTATCCAGAGCAACGGACCGGCGCAAGAGCCTTGTGGACACCCTCTTTCCTGCCGCTTGATAGTGAGGCCATTGTTGTTGGCTACTATGAGGCTACGTGCATGTAGATAGTCCGTGATGATGTTAAAGATGTTTTTGGGACATTGTGCCTCTCTAAGTGCTTGCTTTATAGCAGGCCACCAGAGGGTGTCAAAGGCGCTTTGCAGGTCCAGGGATATGAATGCCGTGTGAAGATTTCTGCCTCTATTTTGTTCTATGCTATCTTTAAGATGACTCAGGGCATGCGTGGTTGACAAGCCAGTTCGGAACCCGTATTGCCGTGGGCTGAGGAAGTTGGTCTGCTGGAGATGGAATTTAAGTCTGTTTACCAGTAATTTTTCATAAA